TGCTAACGCAAGTCCCCCCCAACAGCTACGTCTCCTTCGGCACCACCGTCCTCGCGACCCCCTTCCTCGCCGCCGAGGTCGTCAAGACGACCGGCTTGTGACTCCTAGAAGGTGAACGGGTGCATCCCTTCCCGATCCCGGTTCCGATCCCCGTCGAGCTGCAGCGCGCGCGCGACGCTGCGAGGCAGGCTGAGGCGAGGGAGATCGCGGACCTGATTCTCAGTATGCGCTGGGATGACTGATTCGTGTTGCGATCTTCCTCGAGGGTTAAATGGACGTATGATATTTTTTTCCTTTGTGGTTGCATTTGAAAAGCATAATAAGCAGCATTTTGAGTTATTGCATTGGGATGATGGCGTTTTATGTTTATTTTTCACTTTACTATCCTGATTAGTGGGATTATGAGAAGGATGGATTGGTATCAAGGATCTTCGGTTTTTGTAGATATTGGAACTTGGATACCACCGCAAAAAAAAAAGAAGAATAAAAAGATTAAAATTAAAGAACACTGGCGCCGATCTAAGTTTCTTGAAGGTCTGGTTTTGTACTTGATCTAGTTTGGGTCGATAGTACGGAAGTGGTGGTTGCGATTGTGGGTTAGTTGATGACAGTCAACGCAGGTTGAAATGTGGCGAGAGAGAGAAGGGAAGGAGGGTGGTTGTAGTGTTTCTGCGATGAATTGTTATGTACTCATCTATTCTCTAGACTTGTTGTAGTCGGTCTGTGCTATGCACCATATATACACACCGCATCCTAGTAGCCACAAATATCTTGCTTGATGGGCGGGGCGACAAGATCGATTAGTCCACGCCTCCATCCTTGGACTCCTTCTCTGCGAGTTTCGACTTCAGTAGTTTCACGTTCTCTCGGATCTTGTTGAATTGCCAGGGCCAGTGGATGTTGTACAGGAACGGTCGGAGATCGTGGCGATTGTCGTCAGGGTTATAGCCGGAGAGATGGACGCTCGGTGTGATGATGACGGCTTTGTGGCGGTTCATGGCGTACTTTTGGTAGAACACTGTATCGATGGTTAGCACATGTATCGATCTTAATCTGTATGTACGTTGTATCACTTACGGATGACCTTGTTGGCAATTTCCTCAGGGCCATAACCTGGGCGGTTCTTCCAGTCTCCCAACAGTCGTTGATAGGCAGACCACGGACCAAGCTTGTCAATCTTTCGCAGGATGCCGAACACGGAGAGCTCGTTATAGCTCATGCCCATCTCATTGGGCGACTCGTCGTCTTGCACTCCAGCCGACAAGGGCAGAAGCTCGGCCGTGGGAGTAGCATGGATGAATTCGTCCATTATAGGTAGGTCCCATTCCTTGAGCGCCCAAGCTTGGAAGGACTTAGCATCGTTCTTTGATATACTTCCCAGCGGAGAGATATCGGCTGACGATGCGTCGTACTTCGTGTAGTATCCCCTCAAGTTCTCGTCCACGTTTCCTGATCCAAGGACAAGGAGTGCGGCGCCAGCGCGAGGTGTCTTTCGTGCAGTCGTCGAGAGCTGCGCGAGCTCGTACTGGACCACCATGCGATTGCGTGCCTGGATGTTCTGCTTTGCGAGGTTCTCAGCCGGTGATCCACCTTCGACGCCATACTTGGGGCTGAAGTTGAGTGCTTTGGTGATGATGGCCTCGTGCGCAGTGACGGCCTCGTCGATCGTGATGTCGGAGTGGTAGCCGCCGATTCGCTCGGAGAGTCTCTTTGCGCGCGACCTTGTGTCTTCTCCGGAATTTACGGTGCCCATGTAGCAGGTGTGGAGGATTCGGGAAATGATTTCCTGGGGTTGGGTGGGTTTGAAGTCCTTTTCGCCTGTGATGCGTCGGAGATCGGCCAATGTTGTTTCGTCGCCTGCTTCGATGGACGCGATGACGAGTTTCGCCATGCCGTAGACGAAGAGCGCAACACTAGACGAGTCCAATCCACCGCTCAATGCAAGGAAGTAGCCGGGAGAGTTGGTTCGGGAAAGGTATTGCCATAGCCAAACGCCGGTAGCATAGTGGATCTCCTCCATGGGATCCATGATCTTGAGGTCGATGGGTTGGGAAATGACCAATTTGTCGGACAGGAAGATTTCCTCGGCGGAGCGTGACAGAACCAGATCGTCCGCTCGAACACGGGGAAACTCGAGTTGGTGAGAGGCTTGTACATTGCGACTGACAGAAGTACGGAAACTGCGCACTTTCTCAAGATCGACTGTTGCAATGGTGACCTCCACTGATGACTACACGGGATTGTCTTAGCTTTTGTGCGTTCGGAGTTTCCCATGCGAAACTTACCAAAGAGAATTGCGATCCTTGCGCAAGAACGGTGCCATTGCAGATGACCATACTGCTGCCATCGAACAATATACGGGCATCACCATCGACTCCCGTAGCGTTGGCGTACACATAAAGGCCGCCAAGCTTGCGAGTTGAATTGGCGATCAAATCCAGTCTCGTCTTGAGCTTCCTCAATTCCGCATGAGATGCACTGGAATTCAGAATGATCTCTGCTCCGTCAAGACCAGAGTAGGTAGAGGGATTAGAAGGCGTGAAGAGTTCTTCGCAAGTTTCGCAAGCAACCTCCGTGTCACGAGTAATGAGGATCTGATCACCAAAAGGCACAAAGTCTTGACCAGTAACCTCGCGAATCACGCTTTCGAGCTGGTAGTCCTCGGTGGTTCGTTTCTTTGCCCAAGCAGTAAAGTGGCGTGCTTCCCGATAGAGACCATCGTTGGCGAGTGCCATTTTGGGACGAATGCAGTACACATGCTTGTATGTGCAAAGGATGCGGCAATTATATCGGACATTTCGGTGTCTGACGCCCATACCAACGTCGATGAGCATGTCCTTGCATATTGGGTCTGCTATTATTTGGGCAAGAACTTCAAAGCTGTGAAGAAAGGTGTCGCCCTCTACATTGATTGATACACGTCAACACCATGACTCAGAAGAAATTGGTGGTCCCCAACGCACCGTGAAAATGATCAAGACAGCCATAACCAGGAATCTCGAGCTCAGGACCAGTTCGAAGGGTTGCGCCGGCTTCTTTGGCAAGTCGAATGGATCTGGTAAGTCAGTATCACGAGTGGTGATGCGGGATATCTTAAGACTGATGAGGGGCGGATAGAAAACGGCAAAAATCCAATATGAGCACGAAAAGGCATGGCAACAACGTACTCTTTGATCTTTTGTAGATTGCCTCCAAAGTCTAATGGGATGCTCGCAATGGTCGCAGCAGCGACCGTAACGAAGGTCATGGTTGGTCGTGTGTAGAGATGATGTGGACTTGTGTTGGGGTTGATATGGTGGGGAGGACCCTGATTGAGTAGTGTCGCGTATTTTATGTATCGTATGTGTCGGACAGAGTAGGTAGGCGGCGTGATTGGGTGGTTCAGCTTGCATTACAGGGCGCGGCTCCGACCCAGAGCCGCAACGCTAACTCAGTATTCTCAACATGTTCAAGCAGCAATCATGCACCTGCTCCCGATATTGGAAGTCGATCACCGGTAACACAAATTCCAAGAAGGACTATGAAGAGATGATAGCAGATCAGAATGAACGACTGCATCGCATATTCTACAATTATCTTTTCGAGCCATCATCTCACTGACTTCTATCAGTAGCACATGTCCGAACCGACTCCCGCATTGAACAAAAAAGCTTTTAGAACATCTTATGTAATCATCCATCGTTAGACAATCGGAAGTGGTTTCCTGCAGAGCCGCATCCGTCTTGTTACGTTCAGTAGCGTCAATCGATGTTAACCTCAACTTGTAAGGCGATTGAAAACGACAACCATCAGTGCGACTCAGTAGAAGAACACTGAAGTCAATAGTTGTGTATTTATATTATGAGATGAACAGGAAGCACAGATCAGTAGTTCTGGGGAAGATTCGCAGCCGAATGAAAGCCGGAGGGATGTCACTGTGTGGGGGGTTTAGAATATCACGTGACATTCATAACTTGGCGCAAAATGGCGTGCTCAACGCTAGAACAAACCCATCCACATGTCAACTCCCAATCATCATCCGAACAAAAAAAAAGATACGAGTCGAGTCGAGGGTCTTTCACGCGTTTTCCGTTGATTATATTATCAGAACTACCTTGACTACGAGTAATTTACCAGTAGATTCATCAATCCCACCCATTCATTGGCCAATCATGTCTCCCTTATTCCCTTCCTGTGTCTGGCCCTCCCCCGGCTTGTCTCTCTCTATGGGTGCCGATGTCGCCATCCATCTTACAAACATTTTCTTTTCCCCCTGGGGTCTGTCCGTGGTGGGTGGCTAAACATAATTAATGAAAATAATATCTGATCCCTCCTTCACAATTCTCTCTCTCTCTCTCTCCTCTCCTCTTCCTCTCTACATCCTACTATTCTACTTCCACGATTAAGAAGTAGTAATCCAAGTCTTTCTCCCCAGACTTGGACCCTCATAGGAAGACCGCCACCATGCACTTCCAATTGACTGACTCTGCCGGGTCCGCCTCTTCCCCGGATCAGAAAACACCAAAGACCTTCGTCCAGGAGTCTTCCAGCCTTCCCTTTGGCCAGCAAATCTCCCTCGACTCCATATCCGGACCTACCTACCTGACTGCACAGACCCTCGTCCAGCAAGTCGCTTATGGTCTCTCTGACAAGGTCTTCGCCTATTCCGCAGAGTCATTTGACCTCGATGTTGCTCTGAAGCATTGGCAAAAGAACGGCGAGAAGAATGCTTCTGGCTACCAGACCGGCATTTCTTCCCTCGAGACCAGGACCGGTGCTGGTTCCATCGCCCTGGGCTACATCTTCTCCAAGGACTTCGATCTCAAGAAGCGACACATCCCTCAATCCATTGTTGCCTCTTCCGCTACTCTCGACTACCTCCGCCCTTCCTTGGACCAGCTGTCTCTCCTCTACTCGGTCGCAAACCCCCTTGTTGCTCATGTCGCCGCCGTCGACTACTCTGCCAGCTCTGCCGCCGGCCTTGTCACCGACTATGTCTCCTCCTTGAACTTAGCCGAAGATCTAGGCTTGGGTCTGGTCTGCAGTCCTTCCGTTTTCGAGACCCAGCACATGTCTCTCTTCGCCACTCTCCTTTCAAGCGTTCTCCCTACCATCCACACATATGATGGTATTACCGTGGGACGTGAGACCGCAAGATTGGTGGACACCATCAGCCAATCCAGGCTCCACAACATCTACACTGATGTTCTCAAGGCCGTCTCCGAGGTTGACAAGAAGCACTCCGATAACGCAGGCCGCGTCGCCCGCTTGCTCCAAGCCTTCAACGACGAGCTTGGCGAGGATTACAAGCTCTTCGACTACTACGGCCACGAGGAGCCCGAGACCGTCTTGGTTGTTTTCGGTACCATCGAGGCATCCTTGACTGCTCAGGTCGCCACTGCCCTCGCCAAAGACGGTGACAAGCTCGGCGTTGTCAATGTCCGCGTCTACCGTCCATTCGTTGAGGAGGCCTTCCTTGAGGCTCTTCCTAAGAGCACACGTAACGTTGCTGTCCTCGGCCAGGTCAAGGATGAAGCGGCTGTTTTCGACGCTTCCGAGTTCTCCAGGCTCTACTCCGACGTCCTTGCTGCCGTCCAGTTCGCTTTCGACAGGAATGTCGAAGTCACCGACATCAAGTACTCTCGTGAGCAAGTCTGGACTCCAAGCAACATCTTGGACGTCTTCCAGCAGGCCTACGGCGAGAGGACACAATCCGAGGAGGTCCGCTCATACGTCGACATCCTGAACACCGCCGATGTCCGCCAGTACACTTTCTGGAACTTGGACGGATCCTCTGCTGCCAGCGCGCCAGTCGTTCTTGGTAAGCTCCTGTCCTCCGACTCCTCCAAGAATGTGTTTGTGCGATCCGGCCACGACAATCTTGTCCAAGGTGGAGTCATTCGCACCGATATCCGCAACGCCGATTACACAATTGAGGCCCCATTCTCTGTTGATCAGGCTGATGTCGCCTTCATCGGTGATGAGAAGCTCTTGAATGAGTTTGACATCCTGAATGGCGTCAAGTCTGATAGCTCCATCATTGTTCAGCTCCCAGGCGCCAAGGACGAAGACATTGAGAAGAGGCTCTCTCCAGCTCTACGCAAGGCCATCGTCACCAAGGATGTTGAGCTCTTCATCCTTGATCCTAAGTTGTCCGAGACTGCTGCTGAGGATTCGTCTGCCGAGGCCTACCTTGCGCAGTTGGCGTTCCTCAAGGTCGCTCGCGAGGATCTCTTCACTTCTGGCTTGTCCAAACTCGCCGCCATCAACGGCAGCCCCGACCTTCTCGAGAAGTTGGCACGTGAGCTTGGTGCTGCTCTCCGCGAATTCGAGGTTCCTATCAGCTGGGCCGAGGTCCAAGAGGACGTCCAACCCCTCCGACTTCCTGCGGACATCAACGCCAACAGCTTCACCGCTTTTGAGACTGAGGAAGAGGAGCCGCCCACCGAGCTCAAATCGTGGCAGGTGGCTGCCAAGGGCCTGGCTTTCAAGGAAGCGTTCGGCACTGAGAATGTGCTCCGTCCTGACCTTGGAGTCAAGACCGTTGTTGCTACCGTCAAGGAGCGCCGCCGTCTGACGCCTGCCACATATGATCGTAACATCTTCCACATCGAGTTCGATCTTGGCACCACAGGCCTGACTTATGCCATCGGAGAAGCCTTGGGCATCCACGCTGAAAACGACAAGAGCGAGGTCGAGCAGTTCATCAAGTGGTACGGCCTCAATGCTGAGGAGGTCGTCGAGGTACCTTCCAGGGAGGACCCCAACGTGTTCGTCAACCGTACCGTCTACCAGTCTTTGGTCCAGAACATCGACATCTTCGGACGACCCCCCAAGCGCTTCTACGAGGCACTTGCCGATTTCGCCACCGACGAGAAGGAGAAGTTGAGTCTCCTCGCACTTGGCGGACCCGAGGGCGCTGTCGAGTTCAAGCGTCGCGCAGAGGTCGACACCGTCACCTACGCTGACATTCTCCTCGAGTACCCCTCTGCCCACCCCGCCTTCCACGACATCGTCCGCATCGTCAGCCCCATGAAGCGCCGCGAGTACTCGATCGCCTCCTCCCAGCACGTCACCCCCACCTCCGTCTCCTTGTTGATCGTCACCGTCAACTGGGTCGACCCCAACGGCCGCGACCGCTTCGGACAAGCCACCCGCTACCTCAACGGCCTCTCCATCGGCTCCCCCGTCACCGTCTCCGTCAAGCCGTCCGTCATGAAGCTCCCCCCGAAGACCACCGCCCCGCTCATCATGGCGGGTCTCGGAACGGGCCTCGCCCCCTTCCGCGCCTTCGTCCAGGAGCGCGCGTACCAGAAGCAGCAGGGCCACGAGATCGGCGAGGTCCTCCTGTACATGGGGTCGCGCCACCAGCGCGAGGAGTACCTCTACGGCGAGGAGTGGGAGGCCTACCAGGCCGCCGGCATCATCACGCTGCTCGGCCGCGCCTTCTCCCGCGACCAGCCCGAGAAGATCTACATCCAGGACCGCATGCGCCAGACGCTGCCCGACATCCGCAGGGCGTACCTCCAAGAGGAGGGCTCGTTCTACCTCTGCGGTCCCACGTGGCCCGTCCCCGACGTCACCGAGGTGTTGCAGGAGGCCATTGCCGTCGAGCACCAGGCTAAGAACGGAAAGGGCGCGAAGAAGATTGACTCTAGGAGGGAGATTGAGACACTCAAGGAGGCGCAGAGATACGTGCTCGAGGTGTACTAGATTGTCATGTTAAGCTATGTATCGATGATGATGATGATGATGATGAAGAAGATTGTGGGCATTTAAGCATGAGCACGTATTCCCAATAGACCGCTATCTATCTATGTATCTATCTACTTGCAATAGACCCATTCTTCTTCAACTCATCTTGTTCGTGTCGTTCTTCCATCGTGTCTGCGTTCATGAATCTGCACTAACTACCAATACTTCCACACCTTCGACACCTCAAACCCCATCAACCACATCCATCAAAACACAATCAACCTGTAGTATGATATATCTAATGTAATCCATTTATTTAATGCACGCTTATGCTTATGCTTTTGCTTAAACCTGTGCTTATGCTTAAACTTATGCTTATGCTTGTGCTATCTCAAGCGTGCCCACTATCCATGACCACCTCATCTCACGCCATGTATATCGGGGCGGGCTGATCGTGATAAATATATATGCCTGAACCCCCAAGAACCACCAGATACGTACGCATGCAGAGCACACGTATCAAAAACCTGATTCCCAATCCAGCACTCTCCACCAACGCTGAAAACCTGAAACCCTCAAGTCGTGCGGGTATATTCGAGTAGAGCCGAGTCGATCCGGTGTGGAAGAAAAGGAGACCTCATCCTGTCAAAACCCTCCTCTCCTCTCCTCTCCTCTCACCACCCCACCCCACTCAAAGAAAACCGTGTCGGAGAACGACGAAAGCGAGCTCAGCGACGACCCTTCTTCCGCATCAACAACCTCATCCTCAGCTCCGCGCCCCTCGTATCCGCCTCCGCCTTCCGGGCCTCGGCCTCGGCCTTCCGGGCGTTCGCGTCGGCTAGGGCAATCTGTGCGACGAGGAGTGCTTCGTCCTCATCTTCATCATCTTGGGTCGCTGCTGCTGCGGGGGTGGGAGTGGGGTTGGTAAGGGGAGTAGATGTGGCGGTGGTATTTCTGGCGCGGACTTGCGCGAGGGGGATTTCTGGGGTTGAGGAGTTGCGGAGGGGGGGAAGGCGGGTGGTCTGCGTCTGGTGTTGGATTTGGGAGTAGGAAGGGGGTTGTTGGGAGGGTGTCATGGTGGCGGTGGTGGTTGGTTCTGTGGGGGGAGGGGTGTGAGGTTAGTTTGATTGTTTGGATGAGAGAGGGAAGGGGAGGTGGAAGTACCTTTTCCACGGCCTGGGGCGACGCGGCGGGATGTCGTCAACATATCAGCCAGCATGCCTCCTGGACGGCGAGCGGTGGTGGGAGCTTGATTATGCATGGTTGAGCGGCTGGGCTGGCCGTAGTCGTCGTGGTAGTCTGGGAACGGGCTGCGAGAGATGTTTGACTGGGCGGGAGAGCCGTGACCGTGGTGAGGAGCAGCAAGGCCGTTGTTGATGTTGCGGTTTGGGTTTCCGTTGCGGGAGGTGATTGTCATCTGGGACTGGGAGACGGTGTCGTGGGGAGAGGGCTCGGAGTCCATGTAGCCGCTGGCGGTCTGGTAGTCGTTGGACAGCTCGAATTCGTTTTCGAAGTCGTCTTCGAAACCGTCTTCTCCATCGCCGTCATTGTCCTCGTCGACGTCCATGTCGTCGTCATCCTCCCCGGCTCCCTCGTCGTCATCGTTGTCGCCCTTGCCGAACAGATGGTTGAAGTACGCCTTGAGATTCGACTCGTTGACCGGCTGCGCGTCGCTGGCCGGGCGGTCGATGAGCAGGTGCTTATACCTCACCTCGAACGAGTCCTTGAGCGCCCACTTGCGCACCAGCATGTCCTCAATGACATCGAAGTCCGTAGTGACGAGCTGCGGCTTCTTGTTGCCGGTGTGGCGGATGCGATGCTTGACGACGTTCGCCATGTGCTTCTTCAACAACGCCTTGTCGTTCGTGATGCCCGCGACGCGGAGGATGCACTTGAGCACCGACGGGTGCCACTTCATGGGGTTCGACTCGTCGCGGCGGGGGATCGCGCGCGAGAGACCTGGCTTGCGCTTCACGAGGGGCCGGTGACAGCGCGGGATGAACTTCTTGATGAAGCCCGGCCCCCAGATGCGCTCGATCTTCTTGACCAGGTCGCGCTTGACGATGATGTCGTTTTTCATCGTGGGTGCGGGGCGCGTGGCCTTGGGGCCGGGCTTGTGGCGGATGTTCATGGGGGCAATGGCAGCGCCTGTGGCAGCAGGCTGGGGGGAGAGGGGGGTGTGGTGGAAATTACCTTGCATGATGATGTTGTTGTAGTCGCCATGGGCATAGTCCCCGAAGCTGGTGTCTTGAAGCTCGGGAAGACTGTCCATGTTGGGGTGTGGGAAGTAGGTCTCTCCCACGGAGTCAAGGTGAAGCTGGCCGGCCTCATTGTCCTGGCCGGCGTACTGATCGTGCAGATCGTGACTTACGGAGAGATTGTCAGACTCGTGCTCGCCATCCCGGTCGAGGTCTTGCTCCATCACGTCCGTGGTGGAGGCAAGAAGCTCAGCCGAGAGAGCTTGCAGATTGGCGCCCGCTTCCTGGCGACCAATATCACTTGATTGAGGGACAAACCCCTGCTGAGGAGTAGGCGACTGGTGCGGCTCAGAGGCGCGGACGTCGTTGGGGGACGCCGCGGTCTCGCTCATGGTGGGCTGGACGGTCATCAGTATCGTGGGTCACAAGTGAGGTCTTGCGTTTTCTCATTTACCGGAGCGAGGGCAGATGGAGATCGAGACCTCTGGCTTCGCTGCACGAAGTCTTGCTCGAAGTCGTCCTCTGGCGAGGGAAAGCGCTCCAGTGGCTGCAGTGAGGACCACAGTTTGGCGGTGTTGGCCAGTAGTTCCTGTTTGTGTTTAGGAATCACGGTCGCTTATAGAGAAGAAGCTTTTGATAGTGAGGATACCTACTGGCTTTGACGGAGAGTGGTGGTGGTGTTGCTTTTGGGTGGTGGAGGAAAGATTTTGGCAACTCGAGTGGGATGGAGTTTGACGGCGAGGGAAGGTTGGCAGGGAGGGAAATGGTCCTTTATATAGTGGGTCCCTCTGGGAGCGGCCGCTGCCTGGGACCGAGAGCTGACTGGTTCTAAGGTGAAGTTGGCACAGGTGAGTTTGGCATATTCTCACGTGGATTGAAGTTTGCAAGGTAAAGGTAGCTGGAAAAGTGAAATTGATAGCGGGACTGGGTGGGATTACAGGGATAGACGGTGTAACAGAGCTCACTTCTAATTGCGGCAAAGCGTTCTACACGTGAGAATTTTGATTTGCAAAAGAGTTTGGATTTGAAGTAAGTCACTGTATTGATAGACTGCTGCACGCAGGCTGCCGTGAGTTTTGCGGCTCTTCCGTCAATTGGATAGACGGAATGCCCTAGCTACGCTCATGATTATGGAATCCCTGGTGTGATTCTGGACTGGAAACTTCAGTAATGATAGATATCTGAGAGCCAATAGCGCCGTTCAGTTTGGAAATATCAAGATGAAGTGAAGTTCGGATATGCATCAGAGGCAAAGCACCCTAACCCGAACAAGTTATTCTGCCAAACGGCGCAATTATGGCGGCACTTTTGATCAAGGTGTAGAACATTGAGACAGCCTCTCTGTAGTTTGATGTGTCAATAAGTAGCAACTATCAAACTTCCATGCTTTGATGTACTTTGACTCCCAGTTGTTCTATGTGATTGTCGAACGCCCTATCGATTCGCGAGCTCACAGGGACGGAAGCAGGAAGAAACCAATGGCAGTGTAGTTCAGATACCTATAATCTCCTAGAAAACCAAGACTTTGACTTTACAGCGCTTGACAAGCGGGCTGCAACTGGCGAGCGTGGGCAAAACAAACTGTCTCATAAAATACATGCCTCCATGAGGCACAAGTCTCATGCTGTAGCTCCAAGCACGAATCCCCAAAATCATCTAAAACCTTGGGATGGAGCAGCCGTCAAATACATTCTAGATCTTCTCTACTACTGAGCACTTGCCCAGTCGATTGAAGCCATGTAGAAAACATTATAGAAGCTGTCGTGGATCTATCCGCCTTTTATCTGTCGTTCAACTATTACTAACAATCGGCATATCAACACCAATCAAACCCGAGCGCCTAGAACAAGAAGGCTGTAGTCATGTGAGCGAATCTATCGGAGGCAAGCAATCAAGGATCAATAATGGGAAAGCAGGGCTGCGACTTTATGAGGCCAAGGACGAGTGATAGGGATGGATAGATGAGATCGAGGACCACTTTCGGACGTGTCCTGACGTTTGGGACGAGCCGTTGATCAGACATGCAAAGGAACGCCAGGATGATGAGGTGAACATTAGGCCGCCTAAACCCTGTTTGAAGGTGGACGATCACTAGGCGGGCGCTGCGCATAGCAGACGTCTGCCCAAATCGCGGGGTTAAGAAGACTGATTAGAGGTTGATGATGTGGGGCGTATACGGAAATGAATTTTGTGACATTAAGTCTATTTATGTTCTATGCGCTAAGCCAGCTGCGAAAGGATTCGTGTTATGATATAACATGATAAATCGATCGAAAAAGCCATTGGTACCTAGTGTACGGTATCCCTGTCTTTCACGGTTAGACGGGGCCTTGAGGATCGAAGAAGTTGAAGAAGTCCATGTCTTCAGGATCATGTTGCCCGATTTCGTCCGGAAGGACCGATGTGCTCAAAGGGTGCGGGTGGTTGAGTCCAGGCAGTGGAGGCCTTTCGGGGGCTGGCTCCGTGGCAGGTCGTTCAAGTCCCAAGGCAAGATTGGCCCAGGCACTCTGATCAGCATCCATGTAAGGGTCGGCCATGAACGTCTGAGTCGTGGGACTCTGTGTATCTGAGGCTGCTTCGCTGGAGCGTTCGTCCAATCCTTGTGCACCATCGAAATAAGAAGATGCCGGTTGCTGATAGACGTTTCTTGACATCGACTGCTCGACTGAATGCAGTGCCTGATCTATCCTTGCTGTGTCTTCAGGATTTGTTCGAACCCGTAGATCTCGAAGCAGATCAGTCATCATGGCATTCTGCTGGGTGACCCTTTGAACTATCAGCCAAGCCCACATTGGGACGAACCCCGCCATGGATTTTGTGTTCAAAATCGCCAATATCAAGCAGTTGGGTAGTATAAAGCTAGTGTGGCATCCCACCAAGAGGATGGCATCATGAAACGTGGTCTGATTGACCACCCGCTTTGGTACAGATTGAAGAAAGAACTTTACTTACATCTTCAGCCGGTCTCTCCGTGTGTACATATATACACAGTCTCTGCCAGCGCTGTGACAACTTTGGCACTGAGGATAGTCGCCACTGCACCGAATCTTGTGCTTTCGGCATGCCGTACAGGCCACTGTCGTGCGCCTGTCCTCTTTGGAAGGCTTCACAAAAGAACTCAATCGCGGGATTGCAACCTTGCTGCCATTGTCTGTCGTCGTAGATGGGCCCGCGGGGCTTTGCTCCGACATAGTATGGGTCTGAGTGCAGTAACAGAAGAGGGATTCGAGAATATGCGCTGGGCGGTTTTAAGTGCCTAAACTTGCTGTCGAAATTTCATACATGCCGAAGCATCGGGTCGTGAGCAACCAGAGAGAAGAAGCAGAGGCGACGGACCGCGGAGGGACAGGTTTACGTTCAGCCACTTCTGGCCCAGTAGTAGATCAAGGAATAACAAGTATTCGGGCCTTAGATGTAGAGACTAATCAGGACGAGATCTGTGAATGCGGCTCTAGAACTTCTTCAACCTCGGTGCCTCACTTTCCCATGAGTTGGAAAGCCAGAAAAGGATGTGGGCAGGAATCCTGTGTGTCCCCTGGCCATGCTTGAAATTCGAGAACGGGTATGGTGTTGTTGTAGTCGCTGGCGTCTGATTGGATGGCATAGACTACCGAACCCGCCACACGTAACCGTGTACATTGATGGGATAGATGCCCATTCACTTCGGCTTTCGCATCCGCCTACCAGATTTCGCCATTTTCTGGAATCCCTGGAACGGAATTTTCTCTTTCTCGGCGGGCATCGATGTTGTGGGGTACTCTAAACATGTTGCATCGCCTTACAAACACCAAGATGCACGGCTAGCTGCGTCATGGTCCGTCATAGTGATCGCCATACTTGTCGATACTAGGATCCACAAAACGAGAACATCAAACAATGAGCAATACGCCGTTGTATATCCATACAAAGGGGCTCCAGAGAATGTCAACAGAAACACAATGATACACTCATACCGAGACACAACGTTCAGAGTCTCTGTTGAGCGACTGACTTCTCAGGTCACCTTCGGACGAACGATCAAGCACTAGGCGCTTTGCCCCACCTACTTTTGCAAGTAGCATCCATGACGATCAAGCTTCAACCACATGCGAGAAGTTGAAACTAGCGAGAGGGTCTTCATGTCCAAGGAGGATGGCAGCGTACTGTTTCCATCTTGCACCATAGGATGGACCCCTTGGCGAGTCCTTTGAGATAGCGTTGGTCGAACGGAGTACGGTGCTTCCACTTGGAATCCCGAAGAAGTGGTCTGTCAATCGTGGAAAGCAGAAGAAGGTGCGTATGGGCAGATGGTATCGGATCTTAGGAATCTCCTATATCCTTGGTCCAAGAGTCGAACCGTTTCAGTGCTGCTAGGCTATGACGGCGTTCCATTACTGACACGATACAGGTATTGCGAATAACATCTTTGTTCATCGCCAATTGTCCCCCACGGCCCTACCTCTTTCCAATTCGTACCGCATTCGAATACGAACCACGTCATACGAGACCCACCCGTGCTCAAGAGGCAAGTACAGGACAAGAGCGTTGCCCTCAAGTTTTGCAGAGCAACCCCGAGTAGGAAGGAACGGACACAATGGTTTGTGCTTGGATTACGGGGTCTCTTCTGGAGACTGGTGTCGTGGATATAGGTTGCAAGGATACAAAATGTCGAGACAGAGAGTAACGATACAATTGTGGTAGAAAGCAAGAACTATGTTTCTGTGTACTTTGGGGGGAGATGTGAGATACACGGACGAGCCGTAATGGATACAAGATATACTTAGGCAACCACGATGACGGCCCCTTGGCTATCGGACCATGGACAGGGACGCACTGGGTTTCAACTTGGCGGATGACACCGCATCACGAATAGGGTTATGTGAAATGTATTCCGCCAACCCGTTGCTCGAATTGCCGTTTCCAGTTTGGCATCATCGACCTTGGGGCACCCTCTACATCGAAGACGTCCAGTACCACACCTGACTCATCTGCCAGCACCTGGCCTGAGTTCGCGTCTTGTTGACGTATAACAACCGTCTCAAGCTTCTTCAGTCTCTCCTGTCTCTGTGTCCTGATGTTCTTCAGCAAAGCGCGCAGTGCGGACTCATCTGGCTCTGGGAAGTCGGTGTTTATCTGAACCTCTACAACATTGTCAGGGAGCATAGAACCTATGCAGGGGATATCTATGGGTGCCCAAGGTTTCTGGCCCGTGGGCGGCGACCCGGCCATACCACGCCTTTGTCCACTTTCCACGGGTGGTCCGCAGAATATGAGGACGTCCACCTCGAGATAGACCAGGTGCGGGAGAGAAAGGAAAGAAGAGGCGCCATTTTCAATTTCACCAAAAAGATCATCAATGGTGATGGCAAGATCTTTGAGTGTCTTTCCGCAATATCTTGCGAGGACCTCCACAAAAGTTCCGGGATTCCAGTCGTGCTGGCAGCCATGCCATTTCGTCTGGTGCGAATACCTGAAAACCTGTAATTGAGGAGTGTGCGACACCAGCTGAGAGAGCCCGTCCGCATCCATACAGCAATAAGCTAACTCCATTCTTGTGAGAGACGATACCGCGTCGGGGCTGCGCCATCTGAAAGGGATCCCCGTATAGTTATCATCAACGGCCAGGCAGCTAATGAGAAACAGCTCCTTCAGACCAGTGAGCTCAAGGAAAGGAAGCAATGTTTGGAGACCGGCGCGCTCCTCGTAACCCTCGGACATGAAAGGAAGGATAGTATGCAACCTGGATAGCGGAATGTTGGAGTCAGGATAGCGATTAGCATTCTCTACGAGAGCATCTAGAATCGCTCCTAGCTTCTGGGTCTGCTCTTGGTGTGCATCCTGGAGAGGCTGGAAGTCACTCCAGGCGGGGGAGAGCTGTAGTGTGTTCAGGTTTGGTAAGTGGTCGATGAGCGCAACCGTAGTGAACAGAGAGTCCTCGTACGAATACTCCGTTGGGGACATTGGTTCACTGGTAGATTCGTTCTCGATAGCCTCCCACCACTCAGAGGGATCGATACGAAGTTGCTGGTCAATGGCCGAGGCGGCCACCAATGCAGCTACTTTTTGCATGCTCGCTGCCTCGAGTTGGACGAGCGGCGACGTTGCGCCTTCTTGAGAGTTGGCTTGGAGGGGTTGTGGTTGATACTGAGCGTGTGGTTGTTGGATATTGGCACCGCCGCCATGGGCGGCCATGACGGTATTAGGCACGCGAAGGTGCAGTGATTCAACATATTCGGCAGCAAGAGAGTCGTCTGCAATCTCAGCGATTGCGCGGAGTGCAGATACCTGGGGATTGCCGACAATAAGAGCGTGCCTCCAACGTCGCTTGTACGCGTTGTGGCGCTTGATCTGGGGTCCGGCACGAGCATTAATAGCCTTACAAGAGAGGGCAAAGCTCTCTATGCCCACGGGGAGCGTAAGAGAAATGATCTCATCGATGACCTCAAGTGGAAGGTCTAGCAGCCCCATCATGCCGGTATTCCTTTTTTCTTCCCCTTCTGAGTTCACTTTTGCACGTTGTCGTTGCCGATCCTTGATCGGGCTCTCCGGGTGTCACCCACTACTCCACCCTCTCACTCTACAACAGGGATCGGTAGTTTGTCAACTATCGCCTCTAGTCCAGGAAATAAGAATTCTCCGATTGAACGGGTCGTTGGTTCCTGGCTTGCGCCTTTGGTGATGTCGCTTTGGTTGACTTTGTCGATTGTCGGAATGTGTCGGACGGTCTTCTGGGTATGCGTGGGGTAAATGACTTCCTCCCCTCGCACAAACAATAATAGCGAAAGTGTGCGAAATGATAGACGGCGGATTAAAATCAGGTGGGTGGACGGCCAATTGACCCGTCTGATCTTCTTGTCCCTTTTCGGAAAAGCCTTTAGACTTCTTATCACATGCGAGATAGCTATGTAAGTTCACTATACATACCTTAAAGGGTCTTACTTATGGCTGAATCCTTGACAATAGTGTACAATGTACATGTACTGTGTGACTGTGACTTTGTTGCGGTGGCAAGGGTTAATGAGAGGCGATTCTCAACAACCCTGGCGAGGAAGACCTGTGACTTTTAAAACTGTCCAGCGCGTTCATCTTTCTTAGATGGCTCTTTCGTTAAAATTCTTTTATCGCTAACACCAACTCGAGCATTTTCGCATTCTAGATTCGATCATTACGTAGATTTGACATCAGCGCCGGAGGTTGTGGAGGTTTGTTCACGTGACCTCTATCAATGTATTTCGAATTTCGAAAGTCATCACGTGTCTGCGAATCATAACATTCGGAAAGGATTGGGAAGTCTTTAAAAACTCTTGACTTTTTTTGGAGATGTTTATACTCCTGTGGCCATCTAAGGTGCCTGTCTTAGACCTTCATGTCTGACATCCCAGGTCCCGTCGTCCGGAAATCCTGGTGCATTCCCGTGTGAGCCCTGCCAACCAGCTGCCATATATGCCACTATTCCTCAAATTAGTTTCTACCCCTTCAAAATCCTATAAACAAGATTAGAAATATTCAAAAACTCACCTGCGTATAGGAAGCCTGCATTTCCAGGCATGAAAGGTGGGGGAGTACCTCCGTCACCACCACGAATAGCAAAACCAGCATCATCGAACTTCCAGTAGTCGTACGCGGTTAAGTGGTAGATAGCCCGCTTGGGGTTACCAATCCTCGCACTATTGATAGCCAGGACCGGTCGTCCCCATCCGCGGATCTTGTCGTCCGTCCAGACTTGCCATACCTTGTCTGCGGTCTTGAGCGCGACATCCTTGTCCACAGCCGGAGTATCGGGAAGTATGCCCTGCATCATGATCAAGCTGCGGGGATCGCCAGTGAGCTTGGGGTCGCTCCACCAGGAGCTGTTCAGTCCTTCGTATGTTGCGTACATCCCATCGACCTGGGGAGGTAGGTCGAGCTTCTCTGCGACGGTCGTCCATTGCTTGGGAACTGGTTGGTTCAATTTGGCTTTCCATTCGCGAGCGACACCTAGGCCGTATCGCCAGTATGCAATCTTGCAGGTTTGGTTAGTTCACAGTTTTTGAACAGAGTGTGGAATCTGTCTTACCTCGTAAGCAAGGTTCTTGGTGGAAAGAGGAGGAGTGTTCTCTGTGACACCATAAGAACTGTACAACCGTCAGTACGCAAGTTTGTTATTGTGTTGGTACAACTTACGGAGGACCGAGCTGGTAAGATCCAGTCGTCTCATTCCAGCCTGGGTAAGACGCCATGTAATCGGCAGTAGCCGTCAAAACCTTGTCCCAGCGCTGCAAAGTTTCCCGGGTCGGAGTGGCTTGATACGCCAGCTGGGCCAAGTACATAGGATGCGGCTGTAGTCGTCCACTTTTAGCTTTTTGACTCCAACACTATTCCAATTATCTGGAGAACTCACCTGCTGCCACAACAACACAGCGTTGATGTCACCTGGCGAGCTCACTCCCGTGCTCAGCTCTGTCATCTTCGGCCACCTTGCGCCCTCCCAACCCATCTCCTTCGCGCGGGCAAAAGAAGATGGCAAAAGGGTCTCGTACAACTCAGGGAAGATGTTGTCGAAGTGCTGCTTTCTTCCCCAAGTGACCCAGTGTGCGTTATGCCACACCAACATCTCCATGTGGAATTTCCCGTACCAACCATTGTTCATCAACCCGCTTTCCTGTGGAGACTGCCCCTTGGCAGCACTGTTGACCCTAACGTGGTACTGCGAGAGAACAATACGTCTCTGCAGCTCCGTCGCATTGGGGTTGGACGAATGCGTAAGATCGACAAATCCGCCGTCTTTCCAGTAGCTGTTCCACTCCTTCTGGTTTCGCTTCTGGATGTCATCGGGCGAGCTGGGAACGGCGCTGGCAGGCGCAAAGTGTGCCGTGAACGACAAGGACTTCGTCTTCTTGGAGTCGGCGGGTCGCAGAGTGTATCTATGCGCTGTGATCTTGTCCGATCCAGGGCGCTCGTTGCGGGTCAGGCTCAAGGGAGACTTGTGCTCCCAGCGCAAGTTGGCGTAGTAGCTGGTCTCTTGCAAGACGTGCTGGATGTGTGCGACTTCCTTGGTCTTGCCTTGCTCTTCCAGTGTGGTTGTGTGGTTCAATGGGAAGTCATACACGCCAGCAAACACCTATTCGTAGTCAGCACTTTGCCCTTACCATGGGCGTATCATCGCAAGTTCTACATACCTCGTACTTGTACTTCGTAGAATGGATTGGCGGGAACGGGAAATCGAGTTCCACCTCCAAGCTACCAGCCTTGACGAGATCCGACTCGATGGAGAAAGCGACGGCATCTTCGCTGAAATCTCCCTGGGTGACGACAGTCACCTTCTTGCCATCGACCTTGAACTTTGAGGTGATGACTCCATTCCAGAGGTCTAGCTCCTGCTCAGGGTCGGTGATCAGATCGCCGGATAGTGTCTGGCCTTTGTATTTGAGGCCGATGCGACCCAGGTTGATTCGGTTGGGATTGCTGATCAGCCATTGCGTGGCCTCCTTGAGGTTCGGGTCGGGGATGTCGTAGGAGACGTTGCGACCGTATGTCAGGCGAGGGACGCCATGGTAATCTGAAGGGAGTTCTCTGCTCTATATCAGAAATCGTATCCCGCGTGATACTCGTGACAGAGCAGCTTACCCGTTCGCAGGCAACGAGTCATTGTGCCACGCCCAACTTGACAAAGTATTGAAGGGAAGAAATGTTTGCATTCCCGTGTTATCGACATTGAAAGCGAAATTGCCATTTCCCACCTGTAACGGCGTCGTCTCATTGTCAATTAGGTGTGTGCGAACAATGTTGTGCTTGGAAACAATGTGACGTCTACGCATGCTACAATCAGTACGTCCCTGAAGTACACATCAACATCCACTAACCTATCAATCTTGCCATACGCATCAACCTCAGCAGAAAAGACAGCCAGGCAAGCCGCCAGCCGTAGCACGACGCATTTCGACATGTTGCCCATAACTTAGCTTTCCTCTTGCTGTGCAACAAAGTTGTCGAGCCGAAAGTACCTCTGCGTAGGTACCTACCCATGGTACTTAAACCCTCCTCCACCACGACCCTCACATCTCCCCCCGTACCCTGAGCCTGGTTTCCCTCCCCACACAATTGCGATCGTCAATTATGACATTCCCCATGGGGTTAACAGGGATTCCCGTCACCGGGTTAAAACCACACCGAGCTGCCACCGACCCCCTCTTCGCTTAGTGACGATCGCCCCCGGTATACAGCTTAGCGCGCATGCGACGGAGAGCAGGTATTCTTCCGGGGGCATGCGAAGTTGAGAGGTATACGAGGTTTTCCCGTCAAAGAGATGCAGTTGAATGCGGGTGTGTGCGACTCATTAGCTTGGAGCTACGGTTGATGTCTGGAGTCAAGTGGGTGTCTGGGCTTCGGACGAGGAGATGGGGCGAGATGGGATGGGGACGATACGAGGGGAGATTTTATCCTTTGGATTTAGACATCTCGTATTGAGACAATTGGTTTTTGGTTGACGGTTCAGACACGGCTTCTCGGTATAAAGATATGCTTCTGTGCGGCAGCTTGCTGCCCGATCATGGCCTTGAAGATTTCCGGCTCCATGGTCAGCTACGATCGCAGTGAGCACGGTATGCTTTCATACAGTGGCATAGGGCAATGGATAATTTATACCATGGGAATTGTCATTACCTGCACTGTTACTCAGAATCCAAATTAACTTAGCATAGAAAAGATACAATCGCCAAACAACCCATTAGGACCAAACAGCTATTACCAAACTAACAACAATGAAAATCCCATCCTTCTCTGTCATCAAGTTCCATTTTATTTCCGGTTTTCCCGTGTGTATCAAGTACCGCAAAACAAGCCTATCTATATCGATACAAGCCTTGAACTCCCAAAACCCTAATCTCCAAGCGACCTCCCTCTGCCGCTGCGGAGCTAATCCGATTCGTTACTCTCCACCTCACTGAGATTCGCAATCAGCCGCTCGGCCCTGTACTTGTCTAGGTTGCTGCAGTCGAAGCTAGCGACATTGATCAGCAAGTCTGTACGTGCATGATTCTTCAGAAGTGCCTTTCGCGCCGTGATTTGTTCGCGCTCGAGGTCGAAGAAGTTCAATTGGGTTGCCTCTTCTTTCATGGCTTCTCGGAGAAGGTAGAAGGCCATTTCGGAGACGTAGATGTTGCGGCCTTGGTCGTGGAGCCCTTTGGCGCATAGGAGGAGGGTCGCGCGGATTGCTCGCGTTTTGTCTTCGGGCAAGAGCGGGTTTGGTGTTGTGGGATGGAGAGATTCTAGTGCAGTGAAGCCGACGACGGAAATATGCCTGAAGGCGTAGGTATACCAAGATTCGAAGCCGTGGAGGTGATAGAACATGTGGACGAGGGCAGTAAGACTTAAATTAGAATGGGTTACTGCAGCCCTTGCAGTCAAATTGCCATGGGTGATGAGGTTGGCGGTGTTAATGCTATTTTCCGAAATTTGGTTCAGCGAAGATGTAGCTTTTACGATCTCGTGATATAGCATGCTAATTGAAAGTTAGCGTTTCGACGTTTCAAAGTATCCTTCTTGTGGCAAACTCGTCAGCGATGAGATAGACTAGACGTACTGAAGCAACAGATGATTGGGCAGAAATACAATCTTCGCCGACAGATATCTTGGGAGACCTGCTTCCCATTGTCTTAGGCGTTGCAGGAAGTCTGATGCATCCTTTTGATGAATTCTACCAAATGTGTCTGGCTGGTCAGCCTGGAACATTACTCTCATTATGTCACACAAAATTTCACACAATTCGCACGTGGCAATGAAGGAAGAACCTAGATGAAGAGGAACTTGTTCCTTCGTCGAAGAGTACTTGAGCCAGGATTCGCCAAACCAGCCTGCAGACTGTTTCTCACTTGGTAGGGGGATATCTGGAGGAGAGTGGACCAGAGGCGACCGAAAATAGTGGAAAGCGAATATCCTGGTGATTGGGATCAGTCAATATGAAAATTTATGCAAATTTGATCACTTACGTTTGATGGCTAAAGAGCGCCCATGCTGTTATTGATCGAACAATTGATTCCCTGTTCAGTGGTGGGGCTGACGACTGAGAGAACAGTCGCATTTCTTTGGCCATGGCAATAGCTCTTTTCCAGTACGGCCAAGCAAGTTTGTCCATTCCATTCTCTGCATGACATAGGCCCATAATGCAGGCTGCTTGGACAGTTGTCAGTTTAGGGTCCTCCTGCTCTAATTCCCATAGGCGCTTTGCTTCTGCGAAGAACTGGTATCCTGCGGTCTGGGGCAGCCAGAAGTCTGAGCGATTCTTCAAACTTTCGATGCCGTGCTACAAGAGCAAATGTTAGTTCCAATAACTCTACTGTTGAGATGTATGAGATCGTACGCAAGCAATTGCCAGAATGGAGTTAACCAAAAGACTCGAACAGAAGACTGTCCCTCCTGCAAACAATTCATCGAGGAATATACCCTTGTGGAAGACCGGGTACAGTGGAAAATGAAACTGGAAGTACGTTCTGAGTAACTTTTGGAGAAGCTTTCTATCACAGCCAATGCTCGTCCATCTTGAGATCATGGTGGAATCAGTGTCGAGGGCGGCATCGGTCAAAAGTGCTCTGTGGTATGGAATGTTGCGTATGCACTCTTGATTATCAGCATTATTCATGAAGACTGGCGGCTCTTGTTCATTAGTTTCAGCAGAGGGTGGTTGCGTAACGGACCTAAATAAGGTCGAGTCGTGGAAGGGGGTGCGCATATCTCTAAACAGGGGTTGTAAATCAGCCGCAAATGGTAGGGTGTACCGATATCGTGTTTCTGGTTGCAACGAGAGCTGCAGTAAGAGATCTCCATCTTGAAGTTGGTTGAGGATGCTTGCTGCATCACCGCCTTGTCGTATGCGCAGATATATGTCGTCCGAAGTTTTATCGGGCTCCGTCTGCAGCATGCTATAGATCTGTTCGTAAGTTGACCGTTGCGCCTTCAGTTGTTCATATTTTCTCTGTTTCGAATCAGATGAGGCTTGATTGGTTTCATTTGAAGAAAGTACCTACCTTGGCGGCACGGGTCTCAGTCTCTCTGTAGTGACAATTTAAGTTAACTAGAATGCATTGGGAGCATTGGGGGCGCTCCCCATTGCACTAGCAACTTGATCAGTGTCGTGTATAAAGCCTAGGAGTGCGAGAAGGCCAATAAGATCCTACCTTGAGTTTACGGTTTCGGCAAGAATCACAGGCTGTAGAGACACGGCTGCGCTTAGGTGGAGGTTGGGGCGGTTTCCGGGGACCTCCAGACGAAGGAAGCAAAGGAGGGAGAGAACGAGAAGCCATGTGAGCTACAATGGTTTAGTTAACCAAGTCGCCTGCAGTCCCCAGATTATAACCCCATTTGAGGTACTTATCTCTGGCGTGTGAGAGGGAGGCGGAACTCTTGTCCGAAAGGCATGCAGGAAGGGTCTCAAATATTAACTGGAGTGCCTGACTGTGGTCATTGTCGCACTGCCGATTGCTCATTGGCCCGGCAGTAGTGACCGATGTAGATACCCGCACGTTACACAAGGGAAAAGCAATAAGAAACCAATTCAGATAACAGGTTCACAGGAGGTATTATAATGTCACGAACTAGAGAAACTTACTGCATCTCCATTTTGTGGTGTTCCTCAGGCAATTAAGCAACTCATTCACTGGTATTCTAAATCGAATAGCTAAATTGAATGTTTCGATAGTCCACGCAAAGATTAGTTACGATTTCTATACCCATCCTACCCGTCATCAGGATGACGAAACTGCCCTGCAGTGTTCAAGATGATAACGAATAACATGTATTGACGTCACATCTACCACCATATTTGTGACGTTTCGTGATTGAATCAACATAGTTCACTTTGATCGCATATACTGAAGAGCATTTGAACTTTTACTTTACTTTCATTAACTATAAATATATCCCGCGAAAAGACATGAATATCGCGCAATAACCAAAATAATCTACCAGCCCTCCACCTCCGTGAGCCTAACATTCAACCCTCCCTTCGGCTTCGCCGTAATCCCACCCTGGATCTCCAACTTCCTACCCGGATCCTCAAGCTCGATCTCGAATCTCCCAATCATCGCCGCAACCAAGCAAGCAAACTCCGCCTTCGCGAAGTCCTTGCCGATGCAGCTGCGCGGACCGTGCAGGAAGGTCGTGATGGCGTAGTTAGAGTCCGCGCCGCCGGTGTTGGCGCGGCCCTGGCCGAGCCAGCGGTCCGGGTTGAAGTCGCGGGCGTCGTCACCCCAGAGGGCTTTGGAGGTGTTGATGGCCCAGGGGCAGATGATGATGGAGGTGCCGGCGGGGATGAAGGAGCCTTGGATCGTGGTGTCGGAGAGGGTTTCGCGGAGGGTGAGGGGTACGGGTGGGAATACGCGCATCGTTTCGTTCAGGACGGCGTTGAGGTAGGGGAGCTTGTCGATGGTGGTGGAGGTGATGGGGTCCGAGGAGGTGATGGAGGGGAGGGAGGCGCGGATTTCGGCGCGGAGCTTGCGTTGCACTTCGGGGTGCTTGCAGAGGAGGTAGGTCGCCCAGGTCATGGCGGAGGCGGTCGTCTCGTGGCCTGCAGCGAGGAAGGTCATGAGTTGGTTTACCAGCTCGTCATCGCTGAAGCCGCCGGATTCGAGGGCGACGGAGAGGATGTCGAGTTCGCTGCGTCCGCCCTTTTCCATCTTCGCGCGCTTTTCACGGATCAAGTCTCCGGCGACCCTCTTGATCGTTCCGAGTGCTGCTTTCATCTCCTCGTTGCGTTTCAGGGGCAGAAGCATCAAGAACCATTGGGGGAGGAGAGTTGCGACAAGTTGAAGGATTTGTGCCCCGCGGCCCGGGGAGAAAATGGTCTTGTAAGTGGTGTTAAGTTCGTTCTCTGGGTTGTCGATGGCATTGAAATCTTGACCCATTCCTGCTACTCCGATGATGTCGAGGGTTGCGCGCGAAGCCCAGTCACGGATTTCCACGATAGATGTCCCGTTGTCTTCTGGTTTGATGCCATCGGCCATTTTCTTAACCATCTCCCGTGATTTATCCCAGAAAGTCGGGTAAAGATCCTTCACATGCCTGAATGAGAAGGCAGGCATCAATGCCCTTCTTTGGCGCTGTGGCACAGTCTTAGCTCAAAATCTACGAAACTTGGGATAAGTGAAATTTACCTTGTGCTCATCGCCCTCAGCAAGCAAGATTCCGACACCAAGGAGGCGACCCAGACCTTGCCGAATGCGTTGGGGCTTGACAAATTCGTAGTTTCGCTGTACGAGCACCTCTGCGAGGGCCTTGGGAGTGGTGACGAGGACACGTGACTCGTTGAAGAGCCATCGATAATAGATGACGCCATCATTTTCGACATTGTCAATCCAGTCGCGCTGCGGTTCGCCAGTTGGCTCTTTGAAGATTCTTTTGAAATGTCCGAGGACCAAGCTTGCGTCCTAGTTATGCCGTTAATGCGTGTTTCAGAAGGGCGCGGATTGGAGAGGTTACGGACTGGAGGCTGCGGCAAATGACGCAACGGGCTGAGGAACAGCGGATACACCACTATTGTCCACGCCAGCTGTGCGATCACCTCGAATAGGAAGATGGTTGCGACATTCCAGAAAAATGACGCTGGAAATATGGCGAGTTGAGGAACGTAGCGAAAGGAGAGGAAAGAGAGCGCAGCAGCGGAGAGCAGTAGTACTCGCTTTTGGACTGCCATGGCGAAGAGTAGAATCGATAACAATTGGATTGGGTATCACGGAGAAGAGGCGAAACTGATAGGAAAACCAGAGAGAAGTATTGGACGTCCAGCAAATGAGAGAAGGGAATTAATAAGGGATGACAACAAAAAGATAGAGATTGAAGATTGAAGAGTTTGAAGGATACGGGTGGTGGGACGTTGCCGATCTTTAGTACTTCAATGCCCACACACGCGTCGTTTCATAGGGGAAGTAGTAATCTAGCTCGTAGAAGAGAGATGAGGACACAACAGCGATAGTTATAAAAGCATCGGAGACTAGATTACGGCGGTGCGTAATAATCTTTCTACCTCCAAGCGACGCGGCGACGGAGGCGCGGAGGATGGACGAATATGCACATGGAGGGGGGGTTTCTGATCTAGACACAGACCGTCGCCTATTACCCGCTCCCCTCTGTCTCTTTCCCCTACGATGCGAATGAAACTACACTACTTGCAACAGTGCTACAAGCATATCAGCCCATCTTCTTTCTGGAGTTTTGATTTGCGACTTGCGATTACTAGGATGGTGGCGCGTGGATCCGGCCCAAGATACCCATAGCTTGTTCATAGCTTGTACCTGTCTTGCATCTCATCTGCAGGGCGAACTGGATCTTGTTATGCCGGGTCGGATCAATTGATACCACCGACCGATCGCCGGACGAATAGTTACCTCCCCATTAACCACCTCTTCACCAACCTAATTGCACAAGCCACAAAGACACCTGCCCATTTCAGGTTCGTATAAACGGCTGCCTATTCAGATGGAACTATTGCTTCAATCCTACCTGCTTCCTTTGCTGGAAACATCGAAATCGAAGTCCCCAAATGCCTTAAACTTTGGACCGGACAACCACGACGATACACCGAGTCTATCTCTGCGATGCTGACACGGGCCCAGACATTTCCCCCCAATCTCCTACTCAGATCACCCGGGAATCATCATTGAGCAGGTGAACTTACTGGTGACATTGCTTGCCTTACCGCCTATCTACCTACATGTACAGTAGTCCTTTCGCGCAGCAGCACCCGTCAATCTCCCTCCATGGTTCCCCACAATAATATAATCCCCACGTAAATCCCCATCAGGAAATCCTCTCCATCAAAAACCGCGTATGTATGCGTGTGACAAGGGGAGGCAGCAGCATGTACATAATACGCAGCTGTTCACGGCCCTGAATGGGCGCTCTGATCTCGTCGGTTAACTACATCTACTGTTGGATCTGAGCCTCTGGGTCGGGAACCGATAATTCTTTTGAGCCTCATTCGCGTTCGTTCGTTCGTTCCTTAAAATAAAAAGAATGGGATATATGCATCATTGCATCACACCGTAATCCCTAACTCTGTATCTCTTCAATTTCCTACACCGAGATTCTCTGACCTCTAACCTCTTCACGCCGGCATAACCAAACAAGACCCCCCGTGCTCTCTTTCCCCGTCCCATCTTGCCATACCAAAGCACGTACACAGTACTTCACGCTCAGCAAACCCTGACATAACCACCGCAAATCCGAACAAATTCATGCCCCAAAACCTCCACTGTCAAATAAAAATCCCACGGAGAAAAAACTCCGTCGATCCGTTTATTTACTCTCCCATGAATTAAACATAACAACGGTGTTCGAGAACACACATGCGACACCCGCCGCTCGCAAGGCCGATCCGCACGCACGCCCTCGTACGTTACGTTGAACTCCCCACCTCCGTCTGCTGAATGAAATCACCTTCTTCATGCATCCCATCGCATCCCCTACTCGAGGAAATGCCCTCCGACGACCTGCCTGCCTGCCCATCCTCTCTCGTCCCCTTTCGTCGAGTTCTAGTGTTCTGTGCCGCTTAGCCCGCGAATAGTTGTCGCGAATTGTCCGAGTCCGACCGACCGGTTCGCAACATTACGCGAATGGGGGGAATTCCCCATGTGGATGCGTGGCTGATGAGGGATCGGAGATTGTGATGGGAGGGCAGAATGAATGCGTTCTTACAGTAACGACCTGGGGGTTAGAGAGGCTACGCTACGCGCGTCTGTGGTGATCTGCACGCGGCGGATGATCGTTTAGCATGTAGAACGGCATGGTGTTTGTGATGTACGGTAACTGCCTAGGTAGGTAAGTATTGATTAGAAGGAGGTAGGTAATTGGCACGAGATTGTTATGCAATGCAAAGGAAACGCTTGAATGGATAATCGTGAGGATTCGTATTTCTTTAATGGGACTTTCCGTCTTTCTCTAGATTCTATCTTTAAAAACTCATTTCTCGTTCATGTCTTTCAAGTGTTACAATCTTTCTTCCTTTTTCCGAACCGTGGCCGCCGTTAGGGGATGTAAAATATAGTGGTAAACATTGAAAAAGATAATCGCTGGCTACCTAGGTAGTAATGGAAACAACAAACGTGGTGAAATAATGAAACTTTTTGTGTTGATCGCTCGCTCGCTAGCGTTTCCTTGCGGTTGTCGTGTCTAATCCTTTATTATTGTCGTCACTCCTTCCACTCGACGTCGCAGTTGACGTCGCCGTCTCCGTCGCCGCTTTGGCCTTCGCCACGTCCTCTTCAGCGGGCGTAATATCGATCAGGATATCAGTCTGTTTGCCGCCACCGTCGCTGCCATCGGCCCCGCCGTTGATCGAAGTAGCCTTTGATCCGGACTTCGAGTTCAGCGCCGAGAGGTTGCCAGCGATCTGGTGGGTCCAAAGCTCCGCGTACTTTCCGCCGACCTCGAGGAGCTCTGCGTGCGTGCCGTGCTCTTTCACCTTGCCCTGCTCCACCACGATGATCTGGTCGGCCTCGACGATCGTGCTGAGGCGATGCGCGATCACGAAGGTCGTGCGCCCGGCACTGAGCTTGCGGAACGCATCTTGGATCTGCGCTTCGATCGCTGAGTCGACGGCGGAGGTCGCTTCGTCGAGGAGCACGATCTTGGGGTTGCGGAGGAGCACGCGCGCGATGGCGATTCTTTGCAGTTGCCCGCCGGAGAGCTGGACGCCGCGCTCGCCGACCTTGGAGTTGTATTTGTCCGGAAAGCTCATGATGGCGTCGTGGACGGCGGCTGCGCGGCACGCATCGTGGATCTCGGCATCGGTTGCGTCGAGACGGCCATAGCGGATGTTGTCTAATATGCTTCGGTTGAAGAGCACGGGATCTTGCGGGACGTATCCGATTGAATCGATGAGGCTGGACTTGGTGACGGAGCGGATGTCCTGTCCGTCTATGCAGATGGATCCGTTGGTAACGTCGTAGGCGCGCGAAAGCAGCTTCAGCATGGTGGTCTTTCCGCCGCCGGTCTCGCCAACGAAGGCAATGGTTTGTCCGCCTTCAGCGCGGAGACTTACTCCATTGACGATTTGTTTGCGCTCATCGTAGGCGAATTCTACATCCTTGAATTCGACGTTTCCCTTCTCAACCACGAGTTCTGTAGCGTTTTCGGCGTCCGTTACGGTCGATTTCGTCTTGAGCAATTGAAGCAATCGTTCTGCGTCTATCAGGCTGTTCGAAATTGTCCTGTAACTGTACGCCATAATGTAGAGTGGGGACATCATGGTCTCCCAGTACATGATGAATGTCACAAGGTTTCCAACAGGTTTTTTGCCTGCGACAATCTGGGCAATAGCGAATATGCAGCACGCGGTAAAGCCAAACGTCATAACGAGATCCTGGAGGACATGGCCACCAACGGTGCGGAAGTAGTGGTTATAGTGCGCTGATATGGTTGCGGCAATAGCTGTAGCAAAGCGCTCATACTCGTAGGGCGACCGATTGAAGTAGAACACCGTCTGCCAGTTGGAGATCGTTTCGTTGATCACCTGGTTCTCCGCTCTTTGCTTCTCCATGTATTTCCTACGCCTCGATGTCGCCCACGTCGTGAAGTAAATGCCGAACCAGACGTAGGTTCCTCCCATGAAGAGGATGATGAAGGCCATGTAGGTATCGAAGAGATGTGTCACATACCACATTGCCACCACCATGTCAACGAGAATAGGGAATATCTCAAACAGGACCAACTCAATAATGGTATTGAGGGACGAAGCCTGCTCTACTGCCTTCAGGACCTCTCCAGATTCCTTGTTCGTATGGAAGTCGGTGGATAGGTTCATGACGTGTTTATACGCCATGAGGGTGATTCGCGCATAAGACCGGTTTCGAATGACAACATCCGCGAAATTGCTGAGCATGCCGAATCCACTGTAGCTGTTTACCCAGCTGAATGCGGCCCATAACATGATGTCCTTCCAGGGCATGACATGGGTACCAGAAGCCAACTTATCCGTGATGATGCCGAGTTGTCGCGGGGTGAGAAGGTTGAAGACTCGTCCTTGAATTACATGCAGTGTACGCACAGCCAGGCAAAGCATGAGGATCCAGTCGTTCTTGGGCCAGAGATATGGAAGAAAAATGGTGAATCCTTTGAGGTAGCCGAACCAACCACCCTCTTCCTCTAATCTCTTCGCTTGGAGCTCTTTGATATCTTTATCTCGGTCTTTCCCTTCCTCCTCTTCATCGTCCTCATCGTTCTCACTGCTCGAGTCACTTATTGTACCATAGCCAGCGTTGCCGTTGGCTGCAGCGGCCCCATTAGCGGGCTTCCTTAGTAATGATTGGCCTTCTTCGTCCGTGCCGCGCTCTGGCTGTTTTGATAACAGGAGAACGAAGCCATCAATTGTCAATACTAGAGCAGCCAGAGACTTGAGTAACCTCAAGACCAAAGGGGTACTGTCAGATTTTCCTTTCGCAGGAAATCCAGTAGCAGTTCCAAGAAGGGCGCATATGGTTGTTTCGAAGGCAAAATCAAGCAGGAATGCCCCAAAATACGGATGCCAGCGTATCTTCTCTGCTTTAATGAGAGAAACGCTCAATGGAGTCCAGACCAAGATTGCGCCCAGGCAATTGACCACAGAATCATGGGGCGTGACGTATGTACTACTAGCAATAGAACAGCTGAAGTAGTACAGAACTTCGGCAACATGTGCAACCAGTATGATGGCCATCATGGTAATCGCTAATCTACGCCGTTTCATGGTGATTGCTTGTGGCTTCTGAAGGATGGAGGCGCCGAATAGGAGAGAGGCAAGGAAATAGAAGCCCACAGCAGGAGCATGCGCATACTCGAGGACGACCATTGCGGTCGTCGATGCGACTCGCCGGCGAGGGGCCGCCATTGTCAAAGTAGAGTTTGGGGCCGTAGAGAATTGGAGGTGGGTGCGCAGAGCCTTTGTACCTGGATGAAGTGTTGATTAGTGTGTAATGATGGTACCAGTAGCGTGGACTAGGCTGGGGCGAGTAGTGGCGACGCCCAGATTGACGGTAAAGGTCGGTGAGGTAGTCGCGCAAATTGTTGACGCTCAACTGCGCAGACAGGAACGCGGCAGACAGAAATATTCTTGGGAGGCCGCGTGCAGCTTACAGACGATACAGCTACCTGAGTTAGCCCATTCACCTCTTCAGCTAAGCCAAGCTAGCTGGCGAGGGTGGTTTACGAGTATGTATGTTGCCTGGGAAGAATGTGGGGGGCGATGCACGAGCCACAGCAGCAATGATTCCTAATGGTAGAAGGACCCTGCAGACGCGAGAGGCGCAGTATTGGCACGAAGATATTGACTGGTATCTTCCTATATCTACAGTAGATATAGGTTTCTATGTCTAGTCTACTCCGTATGTTGCCTCATATTTTGATTGGTAGGTAGACTACTTACTGTTCGCAATTCAGTAGTAGGTATCAGGTACCTAATGCATGGAGTAGGTAGTTAACGGCGAACAAACTGTTTCCCATCAAGAACAGAGGTTGTATGCATCGCGTATTCGCGACGATAATAGTCCAGATACCTCCACTTTTCCCCATGCGTTCATCTGAGGTGATCGTCTGAGAGTGCTTTAGGCACCAACCTCGCGTCTTTTTTGCCCTCAGGTGAGGAGGGCTTTGGGGATTGGAATGGTCGCATGGGAGTCACATTCGACGTCGTCTTTCGTGGCCCTGCTACATCTCTTACGTATGACATAGATTGGGCTGGCCTCTGAGAATACGTTCCCGACCGGTGTAGAATAAGTCGGGATGGTCATGAATGTTTGTGGAGGAGTATCATCTCAGCTCTAGAAGAAATGGGCAGTGAAGAGCGCCAGCGGTGGTTGGCTGAGATGAGGTCAGCTATAATTGTCTAATCCCAATGAGGCTAGATGCTTGCTTTTGTGGTGACGGTTAGACTGGTCGATCCACCGCCATTAGACAACAGTCGAATGGCTCTTGCTCAGGCTTCACCGTTGCAGTCCTCGAAACCCTATGATGTATTAGCTGTGCCACAGAGGCGATGCCATGCAACCACAGCTTTCGGCCCCTCATGAGTCATGATCAAACTCAGGCGTTCATCTTTATTACCCAATCATGTACTACGCCTTAGAAGCAAACAAGTCCTCTATAAATGCGGACAAACATGTAGAAAGGGTCCTTCAGTATCACAAGAAATTACGTCAATAGATTGGGAAGAGAATGATGAGAGTGACCTACTTACTGGTCAACGAGCTCAGTATTAGATCATACAACTTTTTCTTAGCAAATATCACAGTGCCTGGAGTTTTGGTGGATTCGTATGAAAACTTAACTTCCACATATTCCACACGACTCTGATATTAGGATTTATGTCGTTCACAAGTATAATTGAGGCGTGCCCGCCGCAAAATCGCTATGGGGAGTCAGCACAAAGCCTCCGCAGGGTCAGATAAACCTCCATTGTAGATAGAGACCTGAGCCTTATTAAATCTTGACTGATTTGTAGTAGAAATGATAATAAATAAAATATGTAGCAGAAAATCTTGACCTGAACCATGATTTTCTAATGCTATAGCACACCTGGCGAGCCTTCGGTGTTTTTTCTGTTCTTAAGTATTTGGTATCAGTATTGTTGCTTAGTGCCTACGGTGTATGAAAGAATAGTAGGTATGAGTTACCGTCTACTTGGGGTGCTAAAGGAAATGAAAAAAATGAAATGCACATATCGTTCTCCAATTTGCCCAGGATCCTGGTACTACGAAGGATCTTCCCGACCCTGCAGGTGACTGCAAATGCTTATAATTACGACCACTGCCAAGACACTTTGCTTTCCACGTCCACACCGTTTGACAATGACTGCGGGTGGTCAATGACTGGTCGAATTAGAACAGTGAAGGTAGTTTCATCCGCGCGTTTGTGCTCGATATTGCCGCTTGACATAAGCAGGTGACGACCAACGAGATCAATCAGGGCATTGAATTTAGTGGCGATTGTATTCTCCCAGCGTGATGCTGAAACACTGTAACGATATGGTGTCTGTTCATGAGAATAGTCCTGAAATGAGTGTTCACCTAGTACTAACTCGTGAGGATAATCTCGAGCCCATTGTTGGCCTGGTCATCGTAGCAGTAGACAGATACATCAGTGGGTGTGATAAAAGCGACTTAGATGAACTTGGTTAAACTCAAGTCCTTCACTCATTCCCTCGCTGGTGAACTCTACTGAAGTACTGCTCATGTCTCCTCTTCACCGTGAAGATCTTTGTTTTCTTCACTGTCCACATTCAAACGGCGCAAACCATTGGGCGACGGCAAACTGCAGTTAGCACCAGACTTCCCTGTCTATTCCATCGCAAAGCTCTGTCCGCTCACTCGAAATCCACTCCACCCTCTTCCCATCCCACCACCGCCCGACTGCTCTCTCGACGAAACCAACCAATCTCGCATGGTGCGCATGCGTGCACGCGCTGCTTCAATCAATCCATACATCCATCCATCCACACCCAGCAAACACACACCACAACCAATCTCGATAGGTAAGCCGCGTTGAATTTAAGAATGATTCGACTCACAGCGAGATCTGCCACTCGTCATTCCCTTCCCCAGCCCTTCATAGCCAGCCCTCTATAGCCAGACCTTACCAGCAGGAAAAGACATCGTCGCTCAAACACCAACACCCCATGTACTGAGATCTCTAGTTGCCGCATTACATTTGTATAATCGTTGAGAGCATCGGGAAGTTCGCCGTTAGCCCTCCAGTTGTTCTCCTCCAGTCGTTCCAATTGAGGTCCCTGCGCGCGCACGAGTATCCATGATGCCACAGCCAACTGCCACGGCAACCCAATCCTCAACATCCATAGCGATGAAGTGTACCTCGGATCCGTCTTTGTTCCAGGTCGTCAACATCCGTACGGCCAAGTGTGCTAAATGTGACAAACGCAATAAAGATACTATACGTCGCTGTCCAGGCTGCACATACCAGATATGCAAGCCGTGTTTTGACGCACAGAACGGTCGAGATTTGCATCACGGGAGCACTTCCACTTTTCTATCGAAGGTAGATTCTCTGGCGGGCCCCATCAGGAGGCGCAGGTTCGATAAGGACGGCAGCCGGATCGCCAGTGAAGTCCCGAAGCCTGAAGACCCCAAAACAGAAGAAGCTCTGGAGCCTGGGCCGTCGGGTACCCTCACTCGTGGAAGTGAAGTCGGCAACCCTAACTCGGGAACTGAAGTCGGCAACCCCACAAACGCCAGCGCTGGTGTAGAAAAAAACGCAGCCGAGCCGATAGGTGTCGTCGAAAATAATTCCAAGGTGATTCCACGACTGGAACCTGGCCCAAGTAACGCCGCCGCTCCTTCACCGCGCCTCAAGCTTATCGTCAACGGCGGAGGCAAGACTACGCGCGCCACCAACGCCAGCGAGCGGAATCTCACTGCTTCAGCGCCGTCAGTGAAGAAGACGAAAAAAAGCAAGATGGATCAAGACGACGCCAAAGAGGCAGAGGGCGCCGGCCGCGGCGTCATCACTCAGGAAGACTGGATCATGCCGCCAACTCACCCGCGCCGTTCCCGCCGAACCGCACCTCAGAGGCCAAACCAAGAAGACCTCGACTCAGGTGCCGACACCGACGATGACTATGAGGATACGAACAAGGTGAATGAGAATAAGAATGAGAACAAGAATAAGGAGAAGACTGCAGCCAAAGCCAAGCCTCAGCCAACAGTCAGAAGCAAGCGAGCACGCAAGGCAGAGAGAAGTCCAACTCCACCGAAACGCATCCGACTTTGGAATGAAGCTTCTGAGATCGATGCGTTGATGCAACAGCATGGAGTGAATACGCCCGAGCGTCCTTACCATGAACATCTTCTGGCGCACACTATTAGCCTCCCAGGTCCTCTAGCAATGATGCCACAGTTAATGCAATACTACCAGGAGCTGAGTGAAGGACCAAGCCATTCTCACTCAATGACAAGCCGGGGAATGGCCACAAATGTCCAGTATATGGGAAGATCCAACAAAAACAGCATTATGAACGAAGACAAGGTGAGTACAGTTATGCAAAGTCAAATATGATGATCGGCGTACTAACATGATTGTAAACAGACTGAGAATCAACTACCCGCTCCGACCCTTCGTGAATATGTCAGAGAGGCTGCTACGGATCTGTCCAAGAAAGAAGGGCTTAAGGGTGACCAAGGGGCCATTCTACACGCGAGAATGGTCGAGGCGATGGCGAAGAAGGTTGCATCTTTCGACAATCGGGCAGTCCGTGAAATGAGTGGCTCTACACTCGACATGCCTGTGGGTTACCTGACGCCAGACCAGTTCGCGACCTTGAAGAATTTCGTGAATACAGAGGGCCATCGGACGTTGCAATCCTTCGCGGATGGGCACAGCCAGGAAGCTGCACCATCGTACGAGCGATCCAGGCTCTTCTCTGGTTCAGAGATCAAAGGAAATGATCAACCCTTTCAAACACCAGTGCTCCAGACCCCGTCACGAGCAAAGGCGCCCGTAGAGACTGGCACCATGGGCACGCCGAAGACTCGGGAATCAGCATCCAATGTTCAACTGGCACAAGATACCATCTCGATGCGGGAACCTGATCACGACCAAGGGATGGCAAAGCGATTCAATAACGCTCCGTGAGTCGAAAAGGACACTTCGCTAGGATCCAGTTAGCAAGCGTTTAACACTTGCGCAACACTTTTGACAGCTTGCGTGAACAACGCCATCGAACTGGAAATTGGACAATGGTGCGAGTGGCGAATATGGTTAGGGCAAGGGTTGGTGGTGTACCTTTGGTGTGACGTCTGGTTCTTTTTCATTAATCGGTTCCTCTGGCACGTGAATATCACCAATGAACAACTAGGGATCGCACCCTGATTCAACACGTCTTCCCAGTATGGACTCTAGTGTCTATTGGTTATACTGGTTCGAGGTCCGGATCGTGCGACTTTAGCAATCAGACTTGAGGAACAGGGTTTGTGTAGGATTAGATACAGAGTCCAATGATATGCATATGATGATATGATAATGAAGAAAGTGAATCATTAGTGTTCATAGTGAGCAATGCTGATGAGGGTAGCCGTGGGTATCCCGATAAATAATATACATATAAAAAGAAATATTAAGGAGACGATGCACAAAGATGAAAGGTCCAAGGCACCATGACCTGTAGGTAGGTAGAAAAAGACATAAGAGATCCTGCACAACGATATGCAGGGCTTAGACAGGGGTGAGCGAACAAATAATGAAATAAACGGTAGACTTCCTAGGATTTGGTATGCCGTTGAGCCAGGTTTCACCGCACTGGCTTTCGATCTGCAGCGAAGGCATCGCCGAATTGTATTGTAAGGGCACCGGTATCGATGGGTTCGACACGGCCCCAGCTGCCCTCAACGTCCTTTGTGTTGCTCACGACTTCATTGAGCCATGTCGACTCGTCCTCATTCTCATGCGCATCAGCGGATGATGGTCGGCTGTTGGAGGGAAGGGGAGGAAATCTTTCGCTAAAGAGGCGATGGTATTCGGCCGTCTTGGATCCATCGAGGGCGTGTGTAGTTTGTGATACATCGATTAATTTGCTGAACAAGGGATATAGGTCAGTTGCAGTCGCTCCAGACCGGGAGGTGAAAACAGAGGGACCTACTCAGAGGTTTGAGCGCAGATCCGCTCCAGAGCATCCCTCTGGCGTCTTATTTCTTCGGGATCTGGTTGAGGTAGATTGTGTGAGCTGGTGGCTGCGATACTGCCATATTGCTGGTGGTAGGCGTCCCCAAGGAGATGCGAACTGTCGGACTGCTGCGCAAGGGAGAAGATTAGCACGACATGTGCATGACATGAGACAGCTCGGTTATGCGGACAGCACAGAATCGAGGTTGGAACAGTCACTCACCTCAGAATCGGAGGGCTGTCGCCCTAGGCAGGATGAGCAGATGCCCATGAATGAGAGGAATGCGGTGGAGCACGCCCGGGGTTTGGGGGTGCTTTTCCAGCTGTAGGACGAGGTGCGGACGATAGTTCCGTGGAGGAAGGGTATGGTCGGGTGAGCGGCTATTAAGGTGAGGCAATTGTACTTGAGGTTCGAATGTTGTCCTGCCCTTGGGCAATAATAACGGTGGTGGTGGTTTGATAGCAGACCAGTATCGCAAGAGGTTGGCTGACAACGGGTATCTCCGCCAAGGGGAGATCGACTCGTGAAAAAAGCCTAACCGAATCCAACATAGCGCTCCCGTAGCTTGTCTCCACCGAAGATCTTCTACTTCATCCCGAATTGGATCTGCCTTTGAGACTATTGTATCAGATCCACAACTAACCTATGTTCTCTTCGTCCCATGCACATTCCAGTGAACTTCTCAAACATAGCGACATTCTTCTAGCGGTGCTACGCCGCCTCACGCCTCAGTTGACGAATTAAGATATAGTGGCCTTTCGAATGTACGAAGTAGATTCAGGATGTTCAGTGGAGAGAGAGTACGGGGCACCTGAGGTACTGCTTTAGTCCCTGTCTTGCAAAAATCTCAACAACTCGTCCTTCTTGGTTCCACTGTCTTCATTTTGTTCCAAAATGGCATCTCTCGTTTGACCCATGGCGCCCCGTCTTGTGCAGCAATCAGTTTGCCGTTATCTACGATGGCAATTCGCAATCATTTGATACCCTTCTTCGAATGCAACCGCGCCTCGCGTTTCTTAGACGCGATCTGTCCTTCGTGTTTCTCCCAACACTTCCCCAAATAACTCTTGAGGTGGGTAAGGAAATGTGTCGACGCGCCACAGGCAAGGGGGCTTGGCGTCATTTGGAGCATTCCTCCTACGCCAAGCTCCATCGAACCCACCATCACCAGTTGGGAGGGAGGCTATCAGGATTTCCTCTTCAGCGCCAGAGTCATGAACATTCTCAGGGCTGGGTTGCACGCAAGGTGACTGTCTTCAATCATGCTTCACGCGAAACCTGAAGGTCTTGTGGGCCACAGTCCGAATCAGTACCGCGTATCCCGCCTGCAAGGCACATTCTCAACGTGGGAATAATCCTGATGGCTGTGACAACCGATAGCATAGGCACCTAGGAGTATTTGACTACCTCAACCTCGTTCGTCCTTTAAAAAGGTAGGCCATTGAGATTCTTACTCGTCATCTCCAAGAATCCTCACCGGGAATCTGTCAGTTGCTTGATCTGAGCAGCTCTCACTCGCTTGAGTGCTCGATCATGCTTTTCACTCGTTCTTTATCAGCTTCGGCTGCTTTTCTTTCCTTTTCTTTCCCAGCTTTGGCTGCAGTTCCCCGTCATCGAGTGGAGCAACTTGAAGGTGCGGCATCTGGTCAGGGGGGGTTTCTAGCGAAGTGGTCGAAACGATTCGAGAAACGACAAGACGAATTGCTATGTGTACCGAATATCTGGTCGGATACCTTGCACGACACGAGCAAAGATAATCAACAAATCTTTTGTAATGAGTGGCTTGAACTCCCCCCAGCTACTTTCGTCGAGGATGTGACATCAACCATGTAGCTAACCTCTTCCTTTTAATGTCCATATTGCTAATCGTTCATGCTAGTGTGTACACAGATATAAGTGGAAGCACTGGTACCATAACTTCGACTACAAGAACTACAACGACTGTGACAACCACTGAAACTTCATACATTACGCCGGCAGCAATTACGCCCCGAGCAGCAAATGCAGCAGCGGCGGCGGCGGCGGCCTGGCAAATTATCGATTCTGTGATAGCTAGCGCTGTAGAGACTTCTTCAACTCCTACTGCTACACCATCACCCACAGGTAGTGTTCGACGAGCAGCCGAGTTGGGATTGTCCACAGCTTGCTTGTGTCTTCAAGTCGAACCCACATCTACAGTGACCCTCACCAATACGGCTCCACCAGTTGTATGTGTTCCTCCACGCACTTGATCTCCTGTGGGTACTTGGGCTAACTGAATGTAGGAGACAACTCTGAAGGCAGTGAGACTACGAATACAGACGGAAATCTTCACAAAGACATACACCACTACCGTGACGGAAATTACGCAGCTCAATGGAACAGCTGTGGATTCTTCCAACATTTCAGCCCCCACAGTCTCATTGACCGATGTCGAATCCAGCACGGAAGCGCCTTCGGTCACGGTGCTTGTAAACGCTACAGGCCCCGTTATCACCACTGGAGGTGCTGTGCTTCCTTTACCGACAGGTCCTGTTGCAATCGGCATACCTTTCAAGTGTCCGGACGATAACGGAAAGCGCATTTCTAACATTTTCAACGACAAAAGATACGAGTATGAGGTTTTCTGCGACAAAGCAATCTCAATAGGAGAGGGTGTAATTGACACCCCAGCTTCGAATCCGACGGCTTGTGCTGCCGAATGCTCTTTCGTCAACGATGTATTTGGATATGCCAAGTGTGGAGCTGCTGCTTTCTCCGTCGACACTGGCAGGTGTTTGACAAGCGGTGGAAGTCCGAACTTGGTTGATAGCCCTGGATCCGTAACGAGCGTGCTCACTGGCATCTTCACTCATGGCGGCGATAATGGAGAATGTCAATTCGTCGACTTCTCGGTCCCGCCGAGCAATGTATCTTCAGCTGATACGTCCGCTATAGTAGCATCTATCACCGCAGCAAGGGTTTCGTTATCTACTCCAGGATTCGTTACCAGTTCAGGAACTGGCGGTGAGTTCCGTACCCGCTTCTCGTCTGGTACCACTGGAACCGATGGCATCTACCGATTCTCTTGGTACGAAGTGTACGCTTCGTCTAGCTCTTGGTATGAGGTATATGCAACCTCCTGGTCTTGCACAAATAACGTTCCCCGAACGGTCATCGTACAGCAACCCACAACTGGCATTGAGAGTGTTACATCTTTCATACCCGATATCACCACCATTATCCGAGGTGGTGTTACGACGATCATTTCTGGCAATTCAACGTCTATCTATAATGAGGGTGCAGGGGAAGCGACACCCACGGCGGTATCGGCCACGACGACGAGTGGCAACGGACTTTTCACTACCGAGTTTTCTACCGCCACCCAAACATCAATTGGTGGAGCGGGTGCTGAGACCCCAGCAGCATCCTCAGTTGTATCTGGTGCAGCAGGTTCTCAGATCAGCTTAAACTCCACAAGAGTAGCTTCCACTGGCTCAGTAACCCAGGGTTCGGCGGCCTTGACAGTGTCTGGTCAAGAAGGAAGTTCGAACTCTACAAGTGCAGGCGGTTCTGTTCAAGTACCTGCAACATCCGGAGGCGTACAGGAGACCATTAGTGGTTCAGTGCTCATCTCCAACTCTACAGCAGGCGCGGGCAGTGCATCAGCATCGGTAACCTCTGGTTCTGCTGGTCAGACCATTGGAGGTTCAACCTTTACGTCCAACTCAACTGGCGCATCCGGTGCAGAGGCGATTCCATCCAACACTGCCATAGCGTCTACATTTGAAAGTCCATCGAACGCTACAGGCGGAGTGGGCACTGCTGCGACATCTGGCAGTTTTGCCAATACTGAGAGCAATGCAATGTCCACCGCGAATTCTACTGGCGGCGCCGGTTCTGCGGGGCTGACGGTCACTTCTGGAGCTGCTGAGCAAACTTTGGGAGTTTCTACCTTGACTTCAAATTCGACGGGAGGTCTCGGCTCTACGGTAATAAGCGCAACAACTGGTTCAGCCGAGCAAACAATCAGTGGCTCAACATCGACAGCGAATTCAACGGGAGGAGTTGGTTCCGGAATCCCTGCCACGTCGGGTGCTGCTGAGCAAACCGTGAGCGGTTCTACTTTTGCAACCAACTCGACTGGCGGTATCGGGTCAGCTGCACCACTTTCGACCTCTGGGGCTGCTGGACAAACCGTAAGCGGGTCGACGTTCACATCAAATTCCACAGGTGGACTTGGTACGGCTGGACCGCAAGTCACTGGAACCGGCGCGACAACACTCCCTGAGACATCGGAGATTGGCACTATTTCTTTGACCGCCCCATCACAGAATCTGACCGACTCTAGCCCGGGAACCTCTCCTCAAAGAGGACAAGTTATCACAACTATCAATGGCTCCGAGTTGACTATCTCAGGTGCTACAGCAACTTCAAACTCCACAGGATCCCAAGGTGAAGCTACACTCACTTCTCCTATCTCTCTTGCAACGGGTAATCAAGGTGTGACTGTATCTGGAAACACATCTCTCATACTGTCCACGGGCGCATCTGGTGAGGAAGGCCCGAGAACTGTTACCATCGGAAGTACTCTCGTCATAACGACCAATGTGACTATTTTCCCAAGCGGAACTGGTGTAGGCTCGGTTGGACCCATCTCTAGTGCAGCGAATGCAGTAAACAGCACTGGAGGTAGCGAGACAGTGCCCGCTCTTTCGAGCAATATACTATCCACTGGTGTCCTTCCCACAGGCAATGTCGCATCCGGGTCGGCAAACGCTACTTCGTCCGGCTCTATTCTTGTACTATCTTCCACAGGAGGAAACGGAGAGGTTTCTCTGAACGCTACGTCTGCCATAGCTACTTCTGGTGTCGCCAATGTCACATCCTCCGGTGCTACAGGGATAACCCTTTCTAGTGAGGGCACCGGAGCCATCACAGCTTCCGTAAACTCCACAATTACATCTTCGCCCACTTTAGTTCTCACCACTGGTCCTTCTTCAAGTCAATCTTCATTCACCAATGACGATGAGGACCGATCTGGACGATTCAGTCGTACCAACTCTACATTGCCTGGTACTACACCACCCCAGGCAAATTCCACAATCCCCGGCACTGGAACAGCTCTGCTCTCGGACGTCGGAGTTTCCGCAACGATTTCTGCTTCATCCAACCTAACTTCTTCGTTGCTCACTGATCAGGCTTCTGTGACACCACCACCGATTTCGTCAAATGCGAGCCTAACCGTGCCAGTCAATAATGGAACTCAATCCGACTTCTCTAATACCTCGGACGATCGCGAAGGATCCTTG